GAGTGAGATATAAATATCCAGAGGTCACTTAAATTTTCTGGAGGCAGATTTCCAGTAGGCTCTTCATCAAAGAGATCAGCGTGATGGAAAGAGAAGACTTTTCTGGGTTCAAATCCCAGTCCTCCAAATTTCTAGTCCCGTACCCCTGGACAATTTATATGATATCTAGGGACTACAATTTCCTAATCTGCAAAGTGGGTATAATAATATCTACCTGCTAAGACTCTTGTGAAGGAGCACTAAATGGTAAAATACATATCAAGCACTTGGTAAATGGTACGCGTTCAATGTTTATTTCTTTCTCCATACATTACAATGATAAACCTCACAGTGGTGTTCCGAGAACACTGCAAAATCTGAAAGTGCTTTTCAACTGTCAGAGAAAGATTACATTTTCTTTTTGTTTTTCTAATTTTCTTTATTTATTTTTGGCTGTGTTGAGTCTTCGCTGCTGCGCGGGGTTTTATCTAGTTGTGGCGAGCGGGGGGCTACTATTCGTTGAGGTGCGCGGGCTTCTCATTGCGGTGGCTTCTCTTGCTGCGGAGCACCAGCTCCAGGCGCAAGAGCTTCGGTAGTTGCTGCTCGCGGGCTCCAGAGCGCCGGCTCAGTAGTTGTGGCGCACGGGCTTAGTTGCTCTGCGGCATGTGGGATCTTCGCGGACCAGGGCTCCAACCTGTGTCTCCTGGATTGGCAGGCGAATTCTTAACCACTGCGCCACCAGGGAAGCCCAAGATTATATTTTCACTGCGTTGAATGACAAGGAACAACTTTTGCCTGGACACAGCCTTCCTCTCAGGAGAGCTGGGCCTCCATGAACAAGTCCGTGATCTCTCTGGTTTCAGCTCGTCGTCTATAAAATAGGGATGGTCCTCCTTGCTCACTTTATAGAAGTGTTTGTGGGATTCAGGGTTGTGAAAATTCTACAAAACAGTGCACCTGGGAGGGGCTGCTAAGTTCATCATCAGCTGTTTGCGGAACACTTCCGCTTCCGGCTCTGACTTCTCCCATCCCACTTGAGCGTCTCAGAAGGCACCGAGTCTGATTCTGCGTCCAGGACCTAGCACAGAGAATTACCTGGGTCAGTGACTGGCTCTCGGACTCAAGCATCGGTCGCTCTGGTGTTGAATTATAGAATTCTTTGTAAATCAGGGTTACCGAGAGAACGAACGGGATCCATTCTGTATTTGTGGGAAGTTCTGCGTTGTTGTTGTTTTTTTTAACGGTCATTGATTTACACATTTTCTTATCTCTCAATCCCTTTCCTTTGGCTTCTTCACTTTCCTTTGTGATTGGATGCAAATCATCTTAACATGATTGGCTAGGGCATCTGCCCGTTATCTTTCCCTTGATCCGATGGGAGAAATGGGATGAAAAAAAGTGTCTTAAACTCCGCTGTTTTATTGGCTCCGCTTAGGGACGTACGGCGAGGACGTGGGTGTCTCAAATTTATTATTGGTTCTTATATCCGTCAGTCACGCTGCAGCGAACCAAGTTCTCTGGCCCGTACTACTCCCGATTGGCTATAGGGGGTGGGGTTTAGGCTGGAAGGGTTTTCATTGGTCCTGAACTGCCCCGCTTCCGGCCCGAGCCCGCCCCCCGTTCGGTTGCCGTGGTTGCAGGCCAGGCCCGCCTGCTTGTCCTCTGACAGCGAGCCTTAGGGCGGAGGGAAGCGGGTCGGTAGGTCCCTCAAGCACGAGGCTCCCGCGGCCAGGCCAGCACGGAGCCGTTGCCATGGCAGCCGCCGCCGGGGGCGCGGACGAAGAGTCGCGCTCTGGCCGCTCGAGCTCGGATGGCGAGTGCGCGGTGGCGCCAGAGCCGCTGACGGGCCCCGAGGGCCTCTTCTCCTTCGCCGACTTCGGGTCTGCGCTGGGCGGCGGCGTGGGGCTCCCGGGCCGGGCGGCCGGCGGGGCCCAGTCCCCGCTACGCTACCTTCACGTCCTGTGGCAGCAGGAGGCGGAGCCCCGCGATGAGCTGCTCTGTAAGATCCCCTCCGGACGGCTGAGGCGCGCCGCCAGGCCCCACCGCCGGCTCGGGCCCACGGGCAAGGAGGTGCACGGTGAGGAGCGCGGCGGGAGGCGGGGCTGGCCCTCGGCTGAGAATCGGGCCCTGATCTCCCCAGCCCGTTCAGGATGGTGTCCTCCGACCTCTGAGTTACGGACCTGGAGTGACCCCTGAGTCCACTTTCGGTACCAATAGTAGAATTATAGCTGCTAAGGACCATGAGTGTAAAAAAAGTAGTCTTCCTGCTCAGAACCAGTCCCGGTGGCTTTTCACATTTGGTAGTTCCTGAATAGAAACCTTTCCCGACTCCAGGTGTTTATTTGTAGATAAAAAATGGGATACTGGAGAATATTATGATATCAGAGCCAAGTCCTACCAACTTATTTCTTTAAATGCACAGACCTGGATTGGACTTTTCTATCTCATTTAGGTCTTAGGCAAACTATAGAACCTTTCAGCTTTAGTTCTCTCATCTGTAGAATGGGTATGGTATGCTTTACAGGGATGTTGCCAGAGTTATTAAGTAAGGTAAGGAATATATAGTTATTATTCTGACTTTGTTGTGTGCCAAACACTGTTGGGTGGTTTCTGATCATTTCTGATCTTCGTCATAACTCACTGAGATCCAGATACTGTTCCCATTTTACTGAAGGTGAAACTGAGGTTCAGAGAAATTGTCTTGCTCTAAGTCACATAGCTAGAAATTGGCTATGCTGGTATTAGAACTCCTGCTCTGGTACTTCTGCCATATTGTCTTTTACATTTTATGGATGCCATGGAAACCAACACCCTGAAAGTTTTAAGAATGGGGACTTTTAGGGTCCCTTTAATACCTACTCATATCTTAGTGGTGTTATGAAGATTAAATGAAAATTTGAAAGTGCTGTATGAATGTAAGGAATCGTTATATATATGAATTGCAATTTTTGTCCATTTCTCTGATGATAAAGGCATTGCTTTCTATTATCCTCTAATATACAGGTAGTGTCATTATGGAGAAAAAAGTTTCTCCATAGGAATCATCAAACTTAAGTAAGTCATTTGGGAGTGGTCTGTTTTGAAAGAGGATATAAGATTATCTGTGTAACCAGCTGACAGAGCGCTTCCATGTAAATCACCTCATTTGGTCTTTGCAACAACTCCGGCCTGTCAGGAAAGAGCTCAACCTTGTTTTGCAGGTGATAGACCTGAGGCCCAGGGGGTTAACTAACTTGTTCACAGTCACCCAGCTCCGACAAGTGGCAGAGCCAAGATCTGGCTCCAAAGGCCTTGGAGGATTTGCTACAAAATGTGCCTTTTGCACTAGCTGTGTCACATTTCAGGTTTCTCCTGGTTCCCGGGGTAGTGTCACTTGTATCCTGGCCCCTTTCTTTCTCTTTAGATGCTATTGTGGCTGAGTGGTGGGTAGCTAGGAAGCCATCACTTTTTGCTTCATCATGGCCATTGCTGGTTTGTTTGTTTTTTTAACTGGCACTCTTATTGTCTTCACAGCTCTGAAGAGGCTGAGGGACTCAGCCAATGCCAACGATGTGGAGACAGGTGAGTGTGCAGAGTGAGTCCAGCTCCCTGGTCTGGTCGGGGAAGGAAAAATCCAGGTAACGAATATCTGGGAAACCAGTGCTTGAATTCTGCTGGCTCACCCCTGGGACCAGGCTCGCTGTACTTATTGTATAACTGCAGTCATCTTGCAGATGACAAGTCTGGCTCAGATGCTCACTCTTCCCATGCTTCCCTGTCACCCTGTACTTCCTGATGTCATAGCGTTTATCACCCTGTGGGCTCCATGGTGGTGGGGACCATGTCTGCTTTTGTATCTCTGGCACCCAGCCGCAGAGTAGGAGCTTTTTGGAACTTGTGGTTAATGGGAATGAATAGTCAATTTGAAGTGCCAGGAGAGCCACCACCTTCAACTGCTCCCTGAGGCCTTGTGGTAGTTGGGTCAGTGGTTCTCAAACTTTAGTTGACAGAACATCTGAAAGGCATGGGAGAGGCTCCTAGCAGGACACCACTTTGTTTTTTGTTGTTGCTCTTCACCATTTGCTAGCTGACAGGGCAGTAGCAGCATCAAAGCTACAAGACAAGCTATAGGAAAAAAATTTTAATTGTATCCACTGACTTAATTCTTTCTGTGAATCAGGGAAAAGTGGTATATGGGTTTTCTTTGGTTGCTGTAACAAATTACCACAAAGATAATGTGAAACAACACAAGTTTATCATCAGACAGTCCTATAGGTCGGAAGTCTAACACAGGTCTCACCAGGCTGAAATCAAAGTGTCTGCAGGGCTGTATTTCTTTCTGGAGGCTCAAGGGAGATCAGTTTCCCTGCCTTTTCCACCTTCTGAGGCCGCCCGCATTCCTTGACTCTAGTCTTCTACCTTCATCTTCAAAGTCAGCCGAGGGATAAGAGCCTGTTTATAGCAAGCACGGAGATAAGGTCGTTCCCCTCAGGGAGCTGGGCGTTAAAACACAGGCCGAGAGTGGGTCCCTTATCCCTGGCAGAGCATAGTGAGCAGGCCTGGAAACTGGAGGGGTTTTCAGCGCTCTCCACTTTTATCTCTTTTCCATGAACTTTAATATTGTGGAATATTTGGGTAGCAACCTATATAGCTTTTCAAGGAAAGATGATGTGTTCTCTTTTTAATATCTTGAGTGTGTGGCCAGAGAATATTTTAATTATACTTCGGTTTCACAGAAAGTCTAGTTTATCTTTTTTTTTTAATGGGTTTATTTTCTTTCTCACATTTATTTACTTATAGATTTATTAATTTTTGTTTTTTGGCCGCGTTGGGTCTTAGTTGAGGCATGCGGGATCTTTTGTTGCGACGCATGGGCTTCTCTCTAGTTGTAACGTGTGGGTTTTCTCTTCTGTAGTCTTGGCATGCAAGCTCCAGGGCACGTGGGCTCTGTAGTTGTGATGCACGGGTTCCAGAGCACATGGACTCTGTAGGTTGCGGCACGTGGGCTCTGTAGGTTGCGGCCTGCAGGCTCTCTAGTCGAGGCGCGTGAGCTCAGTAGTTGTGGCGCTCGGGTTAGTTGCCCTGTGGCATGTGGGATCTTAGTTCCCTGACCAGGGATCGAACCCATGTACCCTGCATCAGAAGGCAGATTCTTAACTACTGGACCACCACGGAAGTCCCTCTCTCTTTTTTTAAATTGAAGCATAGTTGATGTACAATATTATATAAGTTACAAGTGTACAGTATAGAGATTCACAATTTTTACAGGTTATACTCCATTTATAGTTATTATAAAATACTGGCTATATTCTAGTTTATCTTTTTTTTTTTTTAATTTAGTTTTGGCTGTGTTGGGTCTTCGTTGCTGTGCACGGGCTTTCTCTAGCTGTGGTGAGCAGGGGCTACTCTTCGTTGTGGTGCGAGGGCTTCTCATTGTGGTGGCTTCTCTTTGTTGTGGAGCACGGGCCCTAGGCATGTGGGCTTCAGTAGTTGTGGCACGTGGGCTCAGTAGTTGTGGCTCGTGGGCTCTGGAGCGCCGTCTCAGTAGTTGTGGCGCACGGGCTTAGTTGCTCTGCGGCATGTGGGATCTTCCTGGTCCAGGGCTTGAACCCGTGTCCCCTGCATTGGCAGGCGGATTCTTAGCCTTTGTGCCACCAGGGAAGTTCCACATCTAGTTTATCTTGAATCAGGTGTCCACGTGGTGGTTTTATTATTTTGGTGGAAAAGCTGTAATTTTCCATTCAGGGTCTGTGACACACCCATCTTTAAATCTAAGTGGCTCTTAGATTTACCAGGCTTTTGCAGGATTCTGACAGCGAAAGTGGCTGTAGATTAGCCTCTTCATTCCTTTTCCTGTTCGGTTAGCATTTTGTTTAATCTTTCTCTGTTTGTTGATGTTTGTTGGTTTTTTTGCTATAGGTTAGCAATTATAGTGGATGTAAAATTTATACCCTGCTATTGTTAAATCGTAAGTGCCTTTCTGTGAATTCATAATCATTTAAAAAATTTTAAATGTGAAAATAATATGTGCATTTAAAATGTTTTGAAAATTAGAAAAATCTTCATGAAAAACATTCTTAATGTCAGCAAAGGAATCTCTGTTAATATTTTGGTGAATATCCTTCCTGTCCTTTTTCCTATGCAGAGGAATTTTCTTGAAGGGCTTGCAAACTGTGCTGTATACACAATTTTGTAGCCCACATAATGTTTTGTGTATCATAAACATTTTTCATAGTCTTCATAACCATTTGTTTTTTCAAAATGGAAGTGTTATTTTTTCCTATTTATAGAATGAATATGTAGCTGTACAAGTTTTTTGAAGCTTATAAAGTAAAAAGTAGAAATCACCTTGTAATTTCATGCCTCAGTTATAACCACAATTTGTAGTGGATGCACATAATGCCTTCAGAGGGACAAAGCAAGAGTTATTTAGTCAGTCACATGTTTGCACACTGGTTTTTCATTTTTAAGATAATTTCCCAGGAATGGTGGTGTTACATCAAAGGATATGCCCATCTTGATGGCTTCTGATAGATGTTGCTAAAGTGCTTTCCATAAAGACTGTAGCTGCACAAATCACAAAACTGGAACTGACTATTTTAGCTTTGCTTTATCTCTTGGATACTGGCTCTCATTTGGTGATGAACGCGGAGGTGACTGGAAGCTCCTCCTCCTTCTCCACTCTCATAACCCTTTCCCACCACCTTCATTCGTTCATTTATTCAGTCAGTCAGCAACATTCGTGGAGCAGGGCAAGTCATATCTTGGTCCAAGATATTAAGAAACAAAACAAAAAACCTACAGAATAGTTGGAGAAGATGAGTATAAAGCAACACCACTTCTAAAAAAAAAAAAAAAAAAACCGAGGAAACTGAAGTCCTATATTTAGTTGGGGAGGTGTAAGTTCTCGAGCCAGAGAAACCTGGGTTCCTATCCCAGCTTGGCCTCCTGTTGGTTTGGGCTGGAGTCTGTCTCCTGATCTGTACCATTGACGTGATACTGTGCTGAGTGGTTGAGGGGTTTGGCAATCAGGTACCTGATGCCTGGCTGGTGCTCCGACTACAGTCGTAGTTACTCTGAAAGAGCACAGCATATTAATGTGAGAGTAGCAGGATGAACAGGGCGCTATGGGGATGCAGGAGAGGGGGCAGCTCACTCAGCTTGAGGAGATGAGAGAGATTCACAAAGCAGGAGATATCTGGATTTCATTTGGAAGGACTCAAGTCCTTGAGAGGTTTGCTGGGGGATTACTAGAGCATTTTGTTTCTTGCTCTAAATGATGTTTGGCAGCAATTTCTGCCTTTCAGTTGACGTGGACGTGTAATACATAATGCCTCACATTTTATAATGGCTTTATACTTTTCAAGGAAGGAATTTCTTATCCATTATTCTCATTACAGCAACTCCGGAGGTTAGCAGGGCAGAGATTCCTCCCATTCGCTGGTGAATGGGGGCCTAAATCTAGGCCTTCCCACTGCCCCATGCTGTTGGCAATGAACTCCTTTCCTTTTTGCTTAGTTTAGCCTGGGACTTGGTCTGTGTGGCAGAGCCTGTGCTCTGTCCACTCTAAAGGGCTGCCTCCTGGGAGCAAAGTAAGAATCAGCCCACAGCTCGCTCGGCTGTGTCCAGCTGGAATGGATGTGCAGCCAGATGCAGGTAGAGGGGCGGGGCCAGAGTCTATGCTGGAGATTTCCATGGCTCCCAAATTTCTGACCCTGAGGGCCGAGATTCTTCTATGATGTTTTATCCCTAGACACGTAGTTTGAGCACCCAGCTCAAACAGCTGTGCCCTCAAGAGAACAAGTCCCTTGTCATGGCGGCCCCCATGGGGCCCGCATCTAGGAGGGACTGGCTCTCCCAAACATTGTCAATGCCTTGGCTGGAAGGGCCCCTGAGCATCCCCATCTATCCCCTGGGGCCGTAGCCTGGCTAACACTGCCACTCTCTCCACTTGCTCCCTCTGTCTTCGTGGTGTCAGTGCAGCAGCTGCTGGAAGATGGCGCGGATCCCTGTGCAGCTGACGACAAGGGCCGCACAGCCCTACACTTTGCCTCCTGCAACGGCAATGACCAGATTGGTGAGTCCTGGGGAGGGTGAGGGAGGGAGGCTGGGCGAGTAGCATCACTTCAGAGGGGCTGGGGGAGGATCTGCTGTCTGCTCAGCCGGGTGCTGGATATAAGGAAGACCCAGCCCCTCTCACTCCTTTAGCCTGTGGAACTGGCACTGCCAGACCGGGCCAGGGGTCCACCTGGGGAAAGAATATGATTGCCTCTGAGGTCGGACCAGTCCTTCAAGATGTTCAGGCAACATTTACTCAGTGCTAAGGGCAGCAGCGGGACAGCCCCCCCTTTTTTATAAGTTTTTTTTGGACGTGGTATAACTTATAAACAGTGAGCTTTCTGTGTATATACACTTCTGTAACCGCCTCCTGGATCAAAATATAGAATATTTTCAGCGCCCAGCAGCCTGCCTCATGCCCCTTCCAGTCCTTACCCCTGCGTGGACCTTGATCACCATAGATTAGTTTTGCCTGTTTTTCAATTTCACATAAATGGAAACACAGAATATGCACTCTTTTGTATCTGGAATTCTTTCACTCAAAATTATATCCTTGAGGGACTTCCTTGGTGGTCCAGTGGTTAAGACTCTACACTTCCAATGCATGGGGGAGGGTTCTATCCCTAGTCGGGGAACTAGGATCCCACGTGCTGCGCGGCCAAAAAAACAAGAAAAGGAATTATATTCTTGAGACTCATCCCAGAAGGCTGTAAGTAATGGTAGTTCTTTGCTCTCATTGCTGGCTGGTGTTTCATCATGTGACGGACCACAGTTCACCCGTTCTACTATTGATGGGCATTTGTGTTTTTTCCAGGTCTAGACTATTAGGAGGAGCAAAGCTGCTAGGAACATTTTTGTACATGTGACTTGATGGATATAAGCACTTATCTGTGTTAGAATTGTTGGGTCACTGGGGTACACACATGTTTAGCTAGTGTGTACTACCGAACTTTTCCCAAAGATGGTTCTACCAATATACACTCCCACCAGCATTGTGAGAGAGTTCCACATTTTCCCACATCCTTGGCAATGCTTGGTATTATCTCTTTTAAATTTTAGCCCTTCTAGTATAGTGGTATCTCCTTGTGGTTTAACTTGCGTTTCCCTGATGGTCAGTAACGTTGAGCACATCTTCAGGTATTTATTGGCCATTTTTGTATCCTCTTTTGTGAAGTATCTGTTCAAGTCTCTTGTCCATTTTTTTTTTAACAAGTTGCCTATCTTTTTCTTATTGATTTGTAGAAATTCTTTATATATTCTGGATATAAATCATTTATTAAATATAAATGACTTTTTCTTAGCTTGCCTGTTTGTTCTCTGAATTTTCTCATTTGATGAACACAAGTTCTTAATTTTAATTTTTTTTATTTTTATTTATTTATTTATTTATATTTGGCTGCCTTGGGTCTTCGTTGCTGCACATGGGCTTTCTCTAGTTGTGACGAGCGGGGGCTACTCTTTGTTGCAGTGCACAGGCTTCTCATTGCGGTGGTTTCTCTTGCTGCGGATCACAGGCTCTAGGAGCACGGGCTTCAGTAGTAGTGGCTCGCAGGCTCAGTAGTTGTGGCGCACGGGCTTAGTTGCTCCACGGCATGTGGAATCTTCTGAACCAGGGATCGAACCTGTGTGCCCTGCATTGGCAGCGGATTCTTATCCACTGCGCCACCAGGAAAGTCCCACAAGTTCTTAATTTTAATGATTCCAATTTATGAATCTTTTCTTTTTTATGGTTAGTATTTTTGTGACCTGTCTAGGAAGTCTTGGCCTGTCCCACAGTTATGAAGATATTCCCCTGTTCTCTTCTACAAGCCTGGCTGTTGCTTTCACATTTAGGTCATGGTCCCTCCTGAATTAGTTTCTGTATATGTTGTGAGGCTCAGATTGGCCTCCTCATATGAGTTAGTCTGCCTGCACATCCATCTGGGTTACTGGTGAGCCCTGGTGATACCACAGCCCACCCTGATGTGACCTAGAGACTCGTGAGGAGGGAGTGCTCAGCATCTTCTATTGGCCTAATTCCCACTATGGTGCTTGGCTGTGGAAGGAGCAGAAAATGCCCTTGAGAGCCTTCACTAGCAGCCACTGCTATTGGAAGAACTTTCTTTAACCCCTAGAGTCTCAGTCCCGTAATACCTGCATAGGCCAGGGGGCCCTCCCAGAATCCTCAGTTCCTGGCCCTAGAGTCCTGCACATGAGCCTTAGGGGCGAATGAGCCAGTGAGTGAGTGAATGAAACAGCATGGGGGACTGTGTCAGCTTTCAGTGTTCCCCACTTTGAGTGAGCCTCTTTAGTTAGGTTATGGGTGGGGGGTAGGGTGCTGCTCATAGAAGCCCCCAACAGCTCCTCTTGGGTTTTCCTGTTTCCAGTGCAGCTGCTTCTGGACCATGGAGCCGACCCCAATCAGCGAGATGGGCTGGGGAACACACCACTGCACCTGGGTAAGTGCCTGGCAAGCTGCCAAGACACCCTTCTCTGCAACACAGACAGGCTCCGCTGATGGAGAGCCTGGGGTCCTGCAGGCTCCCAGCAGGCTCTGGTATCATCTGGGAAGAGCCTGAGCCCCCAGGGCCACACTCCCCTTGGGCTGTGTCCCATGGCTGTCCCCATCCATCACTAGTTGGCTGTGCCCTGAGCAGAGCTGATTTTACAACCTGAACTGACTCAGCAGCAGCTCTGTTAGGGGAGGTTCCCGCCTTGCGGCTGACTCACTCTGTGGCTCACGGTGAGGCAGGTCCCGTCTCCAAGCCTCAGTTTCCCCAGCTGTACAGGGAGGGAGTCGGATTTGATCACCGAGTCCCTCCCAGTTGCTGCCTTGGTGATGCCTTCTCAGGGGGCGTGACCTGGCACCGGGACCCTCAGAGACAGTCCTGCTCCTCTGGTGGGCGCCCGGGCCAAGCCCCAGTGGCCCTGGACTCTCAGTCCCTGTTCTTCTCCCTCAGCGGCCTGCACCAACCACGTCCCTGTCATCACCACACTGCTGCGAGGAGGTGAGTGGTCCCCTCCCCTTCTCCCTGCTCTCTCCCCCGCACCCCCAGCATGCTCACCTCTGCCTGCACCCACAGGGGCCCGGGTAGATGCCCTGGACCGAGCGGGCCGCACGCCCCTGCACCTGGCCAAGTCGAAGCTCAACATCCTGCAGGAAGGCCACTCCCAGTGCCTGGAGGCCGTGCGGCTGGAGGTAAAGCAGGTGAGTGCCCCCCTCAGCTGAGCCTGCGGCCCCGAGCAAACCCTGGGCAGGTGCTGCCCGAACCACAGACACGCCCGCCTCCGGCACCAGGGCTTCTGGGTGGCTTCACGCGGACCCCAGCTGGCACCTGTTCCACTGTGCCCCTCGGCAGCAGCATCAGGCCGCTCTGTGCCTCCCAGCACACCCTCAGCCCACCCTCTGGTTTCAGATCATCCAGATGCTGAGGGAGTACCTGGAGCGCCTGGGGCGGCACGAGCAGCGGGAGCGGCTGGATGACCTCTGCACCCGCCTCCAGATGACAAGCACCAAAGAGCAGGTGAGCCGCAGCTGCAGGTCCAGACCCAGGCCCTGGCCGGAGCCTCAGGGCCAGCCCACCCCTGCTCTGACGCGGGAGAAAGGCTTGGCTGCGGGCCTGTCGCCCACTGTGGACCTCAGAACCTCTGTCCACTTCCTTTGAAGCTGCCCTGGCCCTTCTCTCTGGGGCGGTCTGAGACCACCTGGCAGCAAGGATTCAGCCTCGGACAGCAGCTCCCTAGTCATGGTGAAGCCACCACATGCCCTGCGGGGAGAGACAGTGTCTGTGGTGCTGCTGGGGGGACCCGGGGGCACCCCATAACAGAGCCTCGGTTTCATCCCGCAGGTGGATGAAGTGACCGACCTGCTGGCCAGCTTCACCTCCCTCAGCTTGCAGATGCAGAACACGGAGAAGAGGTAGCAGAGAGGCTCCCTGCCGCCCCGCTCCGCCGCTCTCGCCCGCCCCACTGCCCTCTCATTACAAAGGAAAAGCCCAGTGCCTGGGACTCTGTCTGCTGAGGGCCTCGCCCCCAGCTGCTGCGAGGCAGAGATGTTCTCTCACTGACCTCAGTGCCACTCCCAGCCGCGGTCTCCATCGTCCCTGGAGGCCGGGACCACAGCCCACAGCGTCTTCCTTCGGCTCCCACGGCGCCGCAGCCACGCCTCACTCAGCTCTGGCCGACGCGCTATCCTAGCAGGCCTCACTCGTCCCATGGCCTCCCTGGCACCCTCGGCAGGCCCCAGACCCTTCTCTGTGTCTCCAACCGTGGGCTCGTCGTGGCCAGCAGGATTTGGCTTAGGGCAGGCACCCTCTGGCCTAGGGGGATTCTGGGCTGGCCCCGCACCTCTCACCAGCACTTAGATTTAGGCTTGTCACCGGACTTTCACGGAGACATGGCAGTGAGTTTCTCTGGTTGGAAGGAGGGGGTTGGTGAAGCCTAGACCTTAGAAATACAAGGTTAGGAAGGGCCCGGCTGAATCCAAAGCAGGTAATCCCCAGTCTTTTTTCTCCCAATCATTGAAACACCAGGAGGGTGTCGCCATTCTGCAGCCTAGTTGTAGTAGGTGGAGGAGTGGCCCCCAGGATGGCCATGTACTAATCCCAGGAACCTGTGAACATTACCTTAAATGACAAAAGGAACTTTGCAGCTGTTATTAAGTTAAGGGTCTTTAGACAAGGAGGCTGTCCTGGATTATCCAGGCGGGCCTGATATAATCACACGGATCCTTATTAGAGGGAAGCAGGAGCTCAGAGAGGAAGCAGGAGATGTGGTGACGGAAGCAAGAAATCGGAGTAACTCGAGGAAGGGGTCACAAGCCAAGGAATGCAGGCGGCCTCCAGAAGCTGGAAAAGGCGAGGAAGTGGATTCTCCCTTCAGAGCTTCCAGAAGGGACCAGCCTGCCGACACCTTGACTTTAGCCCAGAGAGATCTCAGATTCTGACTGCCAGAACCGTTAGAGAATAAATTTGTGTTGTTTGAAGGCCCAAAAATTCATTGCAAAGAAGCCCCACCCTGCCACCCCCCCTCCGCTGCCACTTCTGCCCCGACAGGAGCAGACATTATTCCCCTTGGGGCTCGAACACGCCGAAGGCGGCGCCCCCTCCTGGAAGGGATCTGCCACAGCAGGAAGCCTGAAGGGAGGGCCTGCTGTGCCCAGCCCTCTCCCAGGGACTGCAGAGTAAAGACAGACTTTTTCCAGATAGGCAGTCCCTGTCTGCTCTGGCTCTGCCCCACCTTCCCTCTCACCCAGTTGGAATCCTGGCTGCTTTTCAGAGGAGGGGAGCTTGTCTCCCAAATCCCAGCTCGATCAGACCTGAACTGAACTCATGGGACCCAGCTGTTCCCCAGACCCTAAGGAAAAAAAGGGTCTCTCTGTGGGGCTGAGGTACAGGCCCCGGGCTGCCTCCAGGACCCTGGGAGAGGGGAGGCTGCAAGCCCCACCAGGTCGCCAGGGTTGGGGAAGGTACCCTCCCCAAGACTGGGGAGAGAGGAGGCAGTAAAGTGTGTCGATGCAACACAAGCTGCTGCTGCCGTGAGCAGGGTGGCTGCGGGCTGGCCATGTGCCAGAGTAAGGTGAGGAGCGACCTGTGAGTGGGACAGGTGGATGGGCGGGGCGGCCTTTCTCCTTTCCTTCTTGCCCACGTGATTAACCCCCTCAGGTGAGCCTGCCCACTCAGGCCCAGGGGGCACGTTAGAGCTTGCCCTCCTCTGGGGGCTCTGCTGGGGCCTGTGCCTGGACACAGCCCCTCTTTGCCCCTGGCCCCAGGGGTGGGGCTGAGCAGGGAAGAGCCCGGGGCAGAGGAGAAGCAGGATGGGAGGGAAGGGACCTCAAAGTCGGTGAGCTTGCTTCTCTGGGCCTCCCTCCAGCACACCTCCGGGGCTGATGACCCTAAAGAGCCTTGAGGCAAGGTTTCTCAACCTCAGGTCTAAGGGGTTCAATTAGTGGGCCATTAGAGAGCTATGAACCCCCTGAAACGATGGAAGATTTTGTGTGAAGAGTATGCATGTACTGATAAAAGGGTCTATAGCTTTTATTCTGAGCAGGGTCCACACTCAGAAGAGGTTAGGATCTCTTGCTGCAGAACTTTGGGAGCAGATAGGTGAGAAGCCTGCCCAGGGCATCCTGGGGACTGCCTGGGCACTTCTGGGACCCGTTATCCCCTAGGGCAGCCTGCTTTCTATTGGCAGAGCTGAAGGAGGTGGGGCGTGCTGAGACTTTGTGAAATTGCCCTGAGATGACTGCGCATTTCTAAGATAACTAACCTGCCTCGGAGACTCACGGGCTAACCCCTAACAATTCCTTGGCCTGGACCAAGGCATCCCCACCTGGCAAGTGGGGCGCCTCCCTGCAGCATCCTCCATCCCTGTGGTGCCCCACCCACCCATCCCTGGCCCTGTAGCCATGTATCTAGGAGAATGACCACTGGGGCAAGCGAGGGGGCCATTAAGAGCCCCACCCTGGCCATACTGACAGTGAACAAAAGGCTTGACGGATGAAGGTGGCTTATGGGCCAGCCATCAGACACTTGCCAGACGGCCAGGCAGCTAGCCAATCTGCCTCGATCCTTTTCCGGCCAAGATTTTTCCTGCAATCCCAAATCTCTCTGAAGATCCAGCCAGTTAAAGTCAGCCTCAGACATTAGGGTGAGTCAGAAAACACACAAGTTGGCCCTGAGCAGACTGGGCTGAGCAGGGCAGGATGGAGAACTGGACAGAGGCTGCCCACACGGGAGTTAGCTCTGTTACTAGCTGCTCTGGGAGCTACCGAGTTGGTGGGGGGAGCAGGGAGGGGGCCGGGGGGTTGGGGGGGGGCAGTAAGAAGAAATCCTGTTTGCTGATTTCACTGGCTGGGGAGGGTCCTTTGCATTATACCTCCCATTTCATTCACGTTGGAAATACCTATCAAGCACTTGCCATGTGCTCGGCAATGTTCCAGGTAGGAATGCAACAGGGAACAAAAACAAAATAAAATCCCTGCCTTTGCCCGTGGCAGACGGTGGTAATGCTTGGGGAATATTCACAACTTCTCCCAACCATGCTGTGAGATAACTGGCCTTGCTGGTGCTTTGGACGGGTAAGAAAATGCAGGTTTGCCAGGGTGACCCAACCAGGCAGCTGGGCTGGACCCTGGACCCACCCCCAAAGCTCGTGCTGTTTCCACCACAGCTTTCTCAGAAGCAGAGTTTCCTAAAACTGAGGGCGACAACATTTGTTGAGCTCCTACTGTGTGCCAGCAGGCCCTTTACACAAGCCCTTTGATTTAGTGTTTGTAGCCAAAAGGGTAGCCAATGCCCTTGCTCCCACTATTTTATAGATGCAGAAGATTGAGGCTCAGGCAGAGAGTAACTCGCTTGAGGTCAGACAGCAGCGCAGGACCCAGCCCAGCCCAGGAATCTCTGCCAAGGTTCCCAAAGTGCCAATGTCCCCAGTGCTCCTGAGACACAGTAGAAACCGATGGACCTTACCGAATGAATGTCTGTGTCCCCGTGCAGGGAGGGGTGGGCCCTTTCCTCACTGAGCACATGGCACAGTGTGCTCGGTGGACAAGGCCTGCACCTGGTCACCTGGAGGAGAGAGAGGACAGTATGAGGTGACGGGACTGAGCTGGGTCTGGAATGGTCTTTGCTGATCTCTGGTGGCTGCCCAAACTATTGCAGGCCTTCTGAGGTGGTGGGAGAGCTGGGAGCGGCATGAGCCAGGCCTGGCGGATGGACAGGCACAAGCTGGCTTTGGGGCTGGGAGATGGCCTGGAAAAAAGGGCCCGGGAGCGTGAGGGGCTGGCCAGAGAGAGGGGTGAGACCAGGCTGTGGAGATCCTGAGGTCTGAAGATTTGCCCTGGCGACAGAAAGCAGGTGAGGCAAGCTGTCACCTCCACCCTGGAGATCAAATGCATCCTTACCCAGAGCAGGCACCATGAGCTCCGGGTAAAAGCCCCACCAGCTCCCCAGATTGCTTCAGATGCTGAGCCCAGGGCAGGGTTAGGAGGTCAGGAAGTTGGACTGGTTGTTGCCTGGATAATCCCAACAAAGTCCCTGGCTCCCCCCAGCAATAGGGCCCAAAGTGAATTAGCCCAGACCCCCTGATGCTGGCTCTCAAGCTAACTCCGCGACCTTGGTGCCTGCAAGGAGATATGATCAGTTCACTTTACAGTTAAGGAAACAGGCTCAGGGAAGCAAAGGAGTCTTACCTGAAGCCCCAGACCAGGGGCCAGAGTGGTCCCTTGTCTCTGTGACCGGTCCACGCCAGCCTGGTGACTTTCTCCCGCTTTGAAGGCTGGGGAGGATGGCACGTGTTATATAAGCACTTGGCCAGCAGCATGGGGCGCAGACAGGTGAGTCGCGCCTCCCCAGTTGGATTGTGAGGGTTTGGGTTTTTTTTTTGGGCCACACCACGTGGCTTGCAGGATCTTAGTTCCCCAACCAGGGATCGAACCCGGGCCCCTGGCAGTGGATGCTTGGAGTCCTAACCACTGGGCGGCCAGGGAATTCCCAGACTGTGAGGGTTTTTGCTGGAGGCAAGGGTCCGCCCGGGAGAGCCCTTGAAACCTTCCATATAGCTGACAGCACCAGGGAGCAGCCCGAGGCAGTGTGCCTAGAATGCAGCCTGGCTGAGATGGCTCAGTTCTACGCGTCCTGAGGAACAGAGAGGTCAGCTACGAAGTGCAGGAGCCAGGATTCAAACCCAACGATGTGGCTCACAGCCCGTGCCTTGAGCCCCTGCACCATGTCACCTCTCTGAGTTGACCTGGCAGGTCCACCAGATGCCCAGTCCAGCACCCTCCCCAGCGCCACAGCCGTCCAAAGCACCCCCAGGAGCTCCTGGCTGGCACCCCTTGCCCCTCAACCCCTCCTCACCCTCCTTCCTCCTGCTTCAGTCTCACCCCTACACAGAGCCCAGGCCTCTAAAGCAAGGTGGCACCAAGCAGACGCCTCAATAAATCAATCTTGTCCTCTTAAGCCAGAAACAATTCCACCCCTGCACAGCGTGTCCCTCTGGCCTCATGCCGTCTTGGATCGAGCCGGCGACTCGCAAATGAGCCCTGCATCAGCGCTGAGGACTGATGTTCATTAATAGGAAACCTCGGGGTGGTTAATTGGTATTTATGTCCCCAGGTTCACCGCTCGAAGTTGATAGCTGGTGCTGTTCCCGTCGGCCTGAGGCAGGGAGAGGCGCTGGATAACGCGGCTGTACCGGGGCCCGCAGCTCGCCCACCCTCCCCGGGGCTGAGTTTCACCCTTGGCCACGCTTGCTACACAGGGCGGATGGCTGTGGGTGGAGGTCACCTTTGCACGTTCAGGTTCCTCCCTCCCCTTCCAAACATTCCTACCTGCCCCTTCTCCTCCCTAAAGACCGTGGAACTGAAATCAGACCAACCTGATTTAGACCCCAGCTGTTTGGGGCTAGCTGTGTGATCTTGGGCAGGTTACTTAATCTCTCTGAGCCTCAGTTGCTCCATCTTCAAAACTCTAAGGCAGATGAGACACAACTTCCAGAGCCAAGTGCAAGGCCTGAAATACAGCAGGTGCCCAGTACACCACCGCCCCATGGACACCCCCGTCGTGTCCCCCAGGCCCCTGATCGCAACGTGTTCCAACTGAGCTCAGCATCTCCCGTCCCAGACCTTTGCCCACATCACCCCCACTGCCACCCCCAGGAGCCCAAGCCAGAGGCTGGGTGTCATCTGGGACACCGCTTACCCCACAACAGTTAATCACCATTTAGTCCCGACAGCTGCACCTCGTATGGGTTTGTCCCGTCTGTCCACGTCTCCCCACCCGCTGCCGGAGCCGTGGATGTCTTCATCTCTCTGGATTCTCACACCAGCCTCCTAACTGGTCTCCCTGCCCCCAGTCTCATTCTGCTTTCGCTCCCTGGGAAAAGCCTGCCTTGCAGCCAGAAAGAGTTCCCTAAAGAGTACATCTGATCAGGTCACTCTTTCGCTTAAAACCTTTTCGTGGCTCCCCATTGCCCTCAGGACAAGGTACAGTCTCGGTTTCAGACAGGATGTACAGAATCCTTTGCGGCTGCCCCCCCCCCACCTCTGCCACCTCACTTCCTGCTGGGGCTCCCGCGTACCCTGTCCCAGGCCCTCGGCTCGTCGTGCTGTGCCAGACTGCAGGTAGAGGACCCCAGGTGGCCTGTGTGTGTATTCTCCCATCTCTCCTTTCCCCATCTGTCCTAACTCCCACTTCAGGACTTGGCTTGGGCATCAGCTCCTCCAGGAAGTCTTCTCTGCCTCCCCAAGCTCGTTAGGGCCCTCCTCTGGGCTCCCACAATCCCCTGTGCTTCTGTCTTTCTTTCCTGCAGGAGAACTCTGTACTCAGTAGGTGTTCAGACATGAATGTTGCAGGCCCATCCCTAAGAGGTCTGCACAAACAGGAGCGTGAGAGGGCTGCAGAATTCAAATCTCCCCCAACTAAGAGGAGCTCCTCCCTGGGACCTCCAGGCTGCCCTGAGCCTGGCCTGAGACCCTGCGGGAGGCTCAGGTCAGGTGGATTCTCCATGAGGCAGCAGCCAGGGCTCGCTCAGCCTCTACCCCAGCCCCCATTGCCCGCCTCCGGCCCTGCAGGACTCGGCTCTCTCCACCAAAGGATTACAACCATCTGCTCTTCCAAGCATTTCATGAGCCCCCTGAAGCAGACCCAGGAACCTCAGGGGCCGAGCCCAAGCCCAGCAGCAGGCCATCAATCTTCCTGCCAAAGCCGTGGCAAAAATAATCTCCTAGTCCTAGACCCGGCCCTTGGTGGAAGCTTTCCTGGCCCAGGGTTCACAGAGCAGCCTCTGGATTGGACTACTTGCTGCCAACCTGGCACCTCCAACCCAGCCTGTACACAGCAACCCTAGGGCACCTACCCTCCTGAAAACCCTCAATGGCATCACTGCCTGCCTGAAGGATGAAGTTCCTGCCCCCCGGCTAGCCCAGGAGACACACGTGATCTCACTGCACCCACCCTCCCGGGCTCCCCAGGCCCCACCCCGCCCTGCTTCAGCTACACAAGCCCGCTTACTGCTCCCACCTGTACCTGCCTTGGCACAAGCTGTTGCTCCACCTGGCAGGCCCTTCCCACCTCTTCCCAGGAAAATGCATATTAAAGGTCATCTCCTCTGGGACTCCTGCTTGGATTGCCCAGGAAGGCAGGAGTTTCCTCCTCTGGGCCCTTTCAAACTGTGTGTACTTTTCCCTTGTGGCCCCATAACACAGTGCTATCCTTTCTTCTTTTGGTATTTGGCTCTCCAGCTAGACTGAGAGCTCCTAGAAGGCAGAGACCAGGCCAGATTCACGCCGTCTCTGACTCCCTCTCAGGGGCTAGCTTAGGGCAGGCGCTCAAACGTTTGAGGGATAAAGGAAAGAAGAAAGGAGAGGGTCACGTCTTTCCTTCCCTGGCACCTCTGTCCTCAGGTATCAAATACCGGCCGTGTGCCTACCCTGGGCAGGCTGTACTGCCCTCCATTAGTCGGGGTGTCTGGGCTTCTTTATCTGGTTCCAATGGGCCAGAGAGACCCCTTCAGAAGCAGGAGGCCTTGGGGTCCAGCCAAGGGCCTGGGCTGTATGAGTGTCCCTCTGCCAGGCCACTGTGTGTGGAGGGCTTCCACTGACCGACCCCTCCCCTGGGCCTGGCGTTTCATGCAGGTTCAGGCCCTGGATCTGTCACTCCCCAGCTGGGCGATTGTCTCCTGCCCATCCTAGAGGTAGGCTGTTCCCAGTCGGTCACCTGTCCATGCCCACAGAGGTGACCCCAGCTGGGTGACTGGACCAACCACAGCATAAGCCAACCCCAGGAGATTTTGTTCCCCACTTGTATTTTGCAGGCACTCACCACTGTTGTGTAGCAAACCTTGTCAGATGCTCTTAGATGTTCTTCCGATGCTGCCTGGGCTGCCCTGAGAGCCATCCCTCTCGCCCAGTTAGAATCCTGGCTCTGTCTCGAATTTGCCACTTGGCTTTGGTCAAGTACCTCATCTCCTTGAGCCTCGGTTTTCACTTCTGAAAATAGAGGTAATATCCCTTGCCTGCCGGCGTTGGTACTGGTACGAGGCACGGATGAGCCAGGCGAGGTGTGAGTGATGGCCTCAGGGAGACAGAGGCCACAATGGGGGCTGCAGAAGCAGCAGCATCACACCCCCTGCCCTCCAGGAAACACTCCCACTGCTGCAGCCTGAGTCAGCCGGGGACATCTTGGCAGAGACGTGGGAGAAAGAGCACAGGACCAGTGTCAGCCCCTGTGCTGCGCCCTTGCAGCAGTCGCTCCCCAGCTGCGTCTCAACCTCCCCCTGAGAAGGCTGACTGCCGTCCTGACCCCTGGGTCTGTGGCAGGTGGCAGGCAGTGATGAGGTCTCAGCAGCTGCCCACTGTCAGGGAGGGTCTTCCCAGGGTGCCCAGCAGCCGGGAGGTGTGCTGGAGAGACACGGAAGCCGAAGGTCTCAGGAGGACTCAGCCAGAAGCTAATAAACGTTATTGGCTTACGGTGAGGGAGGAAGTGAGTGGCTCCGCAACCATCGAGACTGATCTATCGGTTAATTAGGAGGTTTCCACACCACAGACGGCCCCAGCTGTGTGCAGGGACGGGTAGGGAGGGGGCCACAGGGTAATCAGGGCTGCTGGAAGGCCAGCTGGGGCCCGAGTGTGGCTCAGCGTCTCCCCGTAGCCAGGAGCACCAAGTGGCTGAAAGAATAATGTGAGGGGTTTGGGTCAGGCAGTGGACCTAGGACTTGATGGCCGGGGGAAGCCCTCAGCACTCGCTGTACCTGAACAGAACTCTCCTAAGGAAGGGGGCTGGGAGCCCTCTGGGGTTTCTAGGGCATCCAGTTGAGCGTGGGGAGCTGCAGGTTTGGGGAGGAGGGCTGATGGAGGATCAGGAAAAACCAAGAAAAACCTTGGAAACCATGGGATCTGAGGAGAAAAAAAAAATGGGAAAAACCATATTCGGTTCTACTGAGTAGAAAAAGTTAAACAGCAGAGGGTTTGAACCCAGCCTCTGCCAAACACTAGCTACGTGACAAACCGCTCAACCTCTCTGAGTCTTGCTGTCTACATCTATAAAGTGGAATTGATTGTATCTGCCTTGCAAAGCTGTTTTGATAATTAGATTGAGGAATGTAGCACCCCATACAGATGGGCAGACGGATTGCCCTCCTTCCTGCCACACTGGTTATGGACAGCGTCTTGGGGCTGCCTAGCTAAGGGCCTGCACTTGGCTGCGTTGAACCATTTTCACCGCCCAGGGGTGTCCACTCAGTGGACTGAGTGTCCCCAATTCAGCCACTCCTCCTCAGAGGGCTCCTGGCTTTGGCTCCATCCCCTAGGGGCGTCCTGTCCAGGGGGAAGGGGAATGACACAGACGTATACCCGGCAGAGCGGAGGCAAACAAGGTTTATTCCGGTCCTCGGGCAGGCAGGGCCCAGCCAGCCTCTCTGCCGCGGGCCGGTTCCCGACCCGGCTCCCCGCCCCAGCCGCCGCCCGTCGGCAGCTGCCCGAGAGGCCTAGCGTCCCCGAGGCAGCCGGCAGGGCCTGGGGACGCCGGGCGGACGCGACGGAGGGCGCGGCGGGAGCCCGGGGGGCAGCGGGGGCGGCGGCGGCCGCAGGGCCACAGGCGGCGGAGGCGCGCGCGGAAGTGGCGCGAGGCGAGCGCGTAGACCAGTGGGTTGAGGCAGGAGTTGGCGTAGGCGAGGCAGTGCGAAGCCAGGCGGCAGGCGTAGGTGGCCGGGCTGAAGGCGAAGCGGCCGTACCAGAAGCAGAGAATGAGCGCGTGGTGCGGGCCCCAGCAGAGGGCATAGAGCGCGGCCACCGCCAGCATGGCGCGCCCCGCGCGGCCCGTGGCTCTGCGCCGGGCCTCGGCCGCCGCCGCGCCCGCGGGACCCACGGCCACCCACAGGAAGCGCAGCGTGCGTCCGTAGGCCAGGCTCACCACGGCCACGGGCAGCAGGTAGCCGGCGGCGAAGGTGGCCACGTCGAGGGCGCGGCGGCGGGCGTCCTCCCAGGCGGGCACGCAGAGCTCGAGCGCGCCGTAGCGCACGGTGCCGTAGTAGCTGAGGTAGGGCGCCGAGAAGAGCGCCGCCAGCAGCCAGACCAGACCCACGGCGGCGCGGGCGTTGCGCGGCGTGCGCAGGGCCCGCGAGCGCAGCGGGTGCCGTACGGCCAGGTACCTGCGGGCGGGCGCGGTGTCAGCGAGGCGGACGGGCGGCCGCCTAGACGCCCGTGTCTGAACCTCGGGGGTGGGCGAGAATCGCGCGCCCGGCCTCGCAGGAAGGTTGTGGGGATGAACGGAGTCAGCGCGCAAAGCGCTTAGAGCAGCGCCTGGCACCTAGCGGGGCTGGGTCAGAGGCTCAGAGAGAAGTGACCGGCCCGAGGCTGTGAGCTAGAGAGTGAGCCTGGGTTTGACCCCAAGTTTCAAGCCATGAAAGCCAGTCTGACCACAACCTGAGCCAGGTGTGGGCGGTAATAAAATATCTGATGAATTCATTGGTGTGTTCCTTTTGCCATTCATTTCACTCTTACAGAACATCATGTGCCAGGCCCTGTGCTAACACTTGGGACACAGAGATGTTCTCCGGAAGCTCCCAATGGAGTTGGGGGGAGGGCAGGATGATCCCCTCAAGTATGCCCTGCAGGTGCCCAGCGACTGGTTGGTGGGGGCCAGGGAGCTGTTCCTTTTTCCCCTCCTATGTTCCTTTTTGGTCCCCCATTCTCTCCTCTCTAAGGCCAATGAGAATCTGTTCAGGTCTTCCCTCCCCAGCCCAGACCCGGCCAGGTCCCCGACACAGCTCACCTGTCCACCGAGACAGCCGCCAGTGTGAAGCTGCTGGCGTACATGGTGAGGTAGATGAGCAGGTGCACAGCCTTACAAACGAGGGCCCCAAAAAGCCAGGCATCCAGCGTGTAGATGGCGGCCTGGAAAGGCACGCAGCACAGGATGAAGCAGAGATCGGCCACTGCCAGGTTGAGGATGAACAGATCCGTAGTGCTGCCCGGCTCCTGCCAGGCACTCAGGCCGGGCTGCAGCAGCACTGCCAGCACAAGCCCATTGCCCACTGTGCCCAGCAGGAAGATGAGGGCAAAGACCACGGGCACTGCCACAGCCCCCATACTCCCTGGGCTGTCTAGCGAAACGTTCTGGGCATCAGCCATCTCCTCATCAGACAGGCACCTGAGGAAGAGAAGCTGGAGTCCTCAGGCAGGAGCCCCCAGCTCTGGTTACTCAACTCAGGGGTCTAGTCCCCCACCCTGGGCCTGGCCACGTCCCGTGGGCTGGAAGCTCGTGGGGGATGGGGGTGGGGGTGGGGGTGGGGACAGAGACAAAATTTATCACTGGGACCCACTGTGCAAGCTCCTGACAGTCTCATTGGTGTCTAAGGTGGGTTTCTCAATTTCCTGGGGAACACCCCCATAGCCCAGGGCATGAAGGGCTGATTAGGTAGTTGATAGACACCTTCAACCAATGATGCAGGTAAAGACACAGGCAAAGTGGGGTGGGGGGAGGGGCAGCTCCAACCGCAGGAGCTGATGTTTTCAATGGGGATCTGAAATACAGGGAAGGCTTTTTTTTTTTTTTTTTTTTTTTTTTTTTTTTTTTCCTTTTTAGCCACACAACACGGTATGTGGGAGCACTATGTGGGATTTTAGTTCCCTGACTAGGGATCGAACCTATGCCCCCCTGCATTGGAAGGGTGGAGTCTTAACCACTGGACCACCAGGGAAGTCCTAAGGAAGACTTTGGGACATAGGTCAACTTCAGCCAAACATGGGCGACGTCCCTGAGTCACTGGATAGTCCAGTTTAGTGAGAGCATGACAGTGGCACAGCTGGGAGAGCCATATAAGTCACTGCCCCCTTTTTACACATGAGGAAATTGAGGCTCAGAGGGGGGACACGGGAGGCTAATACCACACTTTGAGTGGCAGATCTGAGGCTGTTGCCACCCTGGTACCCTGACTCCCAGGCTGGAGCACTTATCTGAGAGCCTGTAACAGGAAGCGCTTCTGACAACCTGTGTGCACGCGTGTGTGCGCGCACACGAGCATCTGTGCAAGCTGTGCTCACTCTTACCCCTGCCCCACCCATGGCCCATATCGACTGCTACCTGGGGGTCTCCCTACATGCTTGGACCTCTGGGGTGGGTGGACGTATTAAGGGCAAGGGAGCCAGGCAGGGAGGAGGGAGGAAAGGTGATATCTGTCTCCCACCCCAGCATGTAGCAGGTCCCCACAAAGCCCAGGATGGGCAACACCCACCTCAACCCTGGGCACTGGGCTCCTGCTTGATCCTGGGCAAACCGGCCAGGCTGAAGCTGCCCCCTGGCTCAGTGGCCCCCGCTTGGTGCCTACCTGCAGGTACAGGTCTGCCTTCCAAGGCTCCCTCCTCTCCTTGGCCCTCCTCAGCTGAGCTGGACTTGGGCACTAATCCGAAAAAGTACCCACTTCCTCCTCATTCCCTGATTTCCCCGGATGGCATGCTCTTCTGTCCAGCTCTCCTCTGCCTCTCTGCGTTGCTTCTGCCTCTTTCTGCAGCGAGTAACCCATTGATCTCGCTCTCTGAGATTCTCGCTTTGTAGTTAACCCCTCTGTGCCCAGGGCCCAGTCCATTCCTGGCCCTCTCACCTCCTGTGGTCCTGCTTCCCCATCGTCTCTGCTCCCTGCTCCAAGAAGGGCTCCAACCGAAGCTCAGAAAGGACCCCTAGTCATTTTTTTGTTTTGGCCACGCTGTGTGGCATGTGGGATCTCAGTTCCCCGACCACCCCCTGCACTGGAAGCACGGGGTCTTAATCACTGGACCATCAGGGAAATCCCGGGACTCCTAGTCTTGAGTGGGGTGTCCTATGCTAGGAATCCAGGAGCCCCTTTTCTGCACACTTCAGTTAGGACTACTCTTCCTGGCCCCTGAGAACCCTGAGACCCATCAGTTTCCCTAAGATTGTTCCAGGGGTTCAGGCTGCCCGAAGCCTGCAGGGTTTGGGTGCCTGTCCAGAGTCTGCCTTTAGCCTGAGGGCAATGGGGAACTAGAGAAGGTTCTAGAGCAGGGACAGGACCTGCCCATTTATTGTGTAATTAGTTTATTAGGGCCTGGGGTTAAAAGGATGAATAGAAGGGGAGCGATTTAATGAGTGAGCCATTAGGAGCCTCTTGTACAGCCAACAGCCAGAGAGCTTACTAGGTCTTGGTGAATGACTGTATCATTCAGTCATGGGGTTCTGGTCTGGACCTCTTGGAGGAGTGGGCCACATGGCCACATGCTTCCAGAGGGTTAGAGGCCAGCACCCGGGGTGTGAGGTGCATTGGATTGAGCAACAAGGTGGTTGTTGAAAACTGGACAAGTGTAGTGGGGGCAGAATGCTGTCTGTAATGAATTAAGGGAGAAGAGAGCTGGTGGGCACTGTGTGGTGTCTTTCTAGAAGCTGGGAGGGTGGGGTGAATGTCAAGGAGAAGTCTGTGAAAGGGGAGAGAAAACAGTCTGAGGGGACGCTGATGAAGACAGGACTTGTAACCAAGGCCTGAGCCGCGAAGAGACTCTTCAGAACTGGTTTCCCATGGGCCCTGGGATTTTCACCAGTGCTCAGGCACCTCTAAAGCCTCATGTCACCCATCCCAGATGCAGCGCATCCCCAAATTTTTGGAAGCAGAGACTCACTGAATTGAAGATATTACAGATCACACCTAGATTCTCCAAACCTGAATTCAAAGCTATCAAAATTGAATTAAGCAATTAGAATTGTAGAATCGTGTGAACTCTGAAGAGCAGAATTGTAGGATCCAGACTTGGTGTGGTGGGATTTAAGAATTTAGGGGTCCACAACCACCCTTTATGAAAGTAATGCACTGTTAGATTCCCAGAAGCCTGGCCTCACGAATGTGGCAGGCCTGGACCCTGAAAGCCCCGAGGTCCCTGACACACTGTCCTCCCTCCGCTTGGGAGCCCCCAGCCCACCATGTCCCTCCTTGCTGGAGGCTAAGCTCTGGGTGGGCAGGGGCAGTACTAGGCAAAGAGCTCCCAGCAGCAGCAAGGCTGAGCTGCTGATATGATAGCAGAGGAGGAGGGAGGATGGTGGCAACCAGAGAGACCACCTGTGGGGAAGGCAGGAAGGGCGCCTCGCTATGGCCCGAGTCCCAGCAGGCCCCAGGCACCCCCTCTTCCCTTGCTCCAACTGCTGCTCCTGGTGACTGTGGCCTTGAACCCTGCACCCAACGTAGAGGACAGATGGTGGGCCCTGAGAGTGGTACCCAGAGACCAAGGCTCTGCAGGGTAAGTGCAGCTTGTCCGCGACTGGCCCTTGGCCCTATAGCCTGTCTTGGCCTCTGGCGATGACCAGTACGTGCCCAAGCCCAAGCATGTGTGCCCAGCGCTGCCACTGCACCTGCTGGCACCTCCTATGACCCCTCTGGATGGTGGCGGAGGAGCTGTGCCGCGGTGGACCTGGGCCAGCACAGCTCCACACGCCGAGTCGAAAGCTGGCTGATGATGCGGTGCTCTATTGCAACAAGCCGGCCCACGGTGTCGAGGCACTGCCACCGCCCCACAATGTCAGCGGCGGCACCTGGGAACTAGAGGACGCAACGGTGCTCGCTGTGCGCCACTGGCTGATGGACCTCACTTAGGTCCACCTTATCTCAGCCTCACCTACTGCGATTCGTCACCCCGTGGCTGCTCATGGCCACCCACTATGACCTGCCAGCTTGAGCAGACCATGCACGTCAAGCTGCTGGCTGGGCCAGGGGCTGGCACCAAGCTGTGTGTACTTGCTGCTGTAGGAGTGCACCTGGTGCCAGATGCCCTACGCTTGTCTGTGCCCCTGATGTGGCCACAGCAGCCCCCTCCCCTGGGGCTGTATCCCCTAGCACCCCGAACTCCTGGACCCCAGCCTCAAGCTCCTCGGGATCACAGGCTAGGATTCTCAGAATCCCAGCATTAAGATCCTGATGGACGGGGCCAGAGCTCACCCAGACTGTCCATCCCTAGACACCCAGGCTGAAGGGAGGGCTGGGGATGGGGGGCGCCAGAAACATGGTCCCATCGTTAATGAAGAAGGGCCTTTTCATCCTCCCTGCCCTATTGCCAGCAAACTACGAGCTTCCCAAGCCCACACCATGCTGAGGCTGGAGGTGCGGTGACTCAGAACCCATCCTTTACCCCTTACCCCCAGGTGCCCGTAAGGCTGAGTGGGGAGGGCAATGGAGAGAGAAGCACCATGGGTTGCGACTGCGGGAAGGGGACAGTCATCTTCAGCAAGGAAGCAGTGACCCATTGTCGGGGGCAAGGCAGGGTGGGGCCTTGCCTGCGGGGTTGTAGCAACAGCTGAGTCCGAGGCCAGAAGTCTGGAGGGGGCGGGGCGATAGCAGAGCCTGAGCTCGCTACGCCCCCTGGCGGCTGATATTCAGGCCAGCAGGCCCCGGGAATACTGAAATGGAATGGCCCCAATACCAATATAACAGCCACTCTTGGTACAGCGGGGGAAACTGAGGCACACACGGGGGAGGGGCCTGCCTAAGGCCACAGAGGCAGGAACAAAGTGGGCTAGAACACAGAGGACCAGACCATCGGGGGCCTCTCCAATAGCGACATTCTTTCCTTTGGGGCTGAATCTTTTGCTTCTCCCAAACATGGGTTTGGGTGCCCAGCCCCTTCTTATCTGGGCAGCTGTAGGGCCATCCTTTGGACGTGGAGCAGAGGACGAGGTGTCCACCAAGGCTGCAGAGTAGGCGGGTGGGTGGCGCAGGAAGGGGCCTGCAGGGCTGGGGCTCAGCTGCCCTCTACAGCGGGAAAGAATCCAACTGAGCCAAACAGTGGCTCCAGCCTCTATTACCCGAGCTGCCTGGGTCCCATCTTAATTCGGGGGAGGCGGTGAGCTCTGAGATCTATTACAGTCCTCAGGAGCTGGCCCTCAGAACCCCAGCTCCTGCCTGATTCTTCGACCAGCACAGGACTGGGGCTGCTCCGAGAGAATAAAGCAGACCAACACGCCACAGCCAATTTCCACACTGTTACTTAACACTCACAGCCACAAGCACAGGCCTCACCCCAGCCTGGCCCCAGGACTGACAGAGTTCAGAGCCTCTGGCCTGGGCTGGTCAAAGGCCCCCCTCTCTGTCACTCTGGAAGGAGGGGGACCATGGCTCTGCTTGTCACTACCCAGGACTCAAGGCAGTGCCCCGT